CACCTTGCCCTGAAAGACCCCCCTTTGTAAGTCGACAGCCAAATTTGAAATCGTTTCATTGGTATTGTTTCTCAATGAGCAATGAATCATTCTACTCAGTCAGGACTTGAACTAATCAGCTGCTCATTAGAGGCGAAGTTTTTTCTGATCATTATTCTCGCCCACCTTATGATCCTGATTGGATTTGTCCCAGACCGTCGGATTCTCTCGTCGTTAGCTACTTTGTGCCAGACTCAGCTCGGCAACGAAATCGTTGCCGTCTGGCACAACGTTGTCCATTTAGAGTGCAGAAGTGGCTGCAGAAAAAAATGCACAACAAAAATCATTTTAGTGAGTATTGAATAATCTTTTTCAGGGTTCTTCTAATGAGCACTTATTACCTCCACCGCCGCCGCCACCGGTTCTCACAGGGCTTGGTGGTCTGTTACCGCCTCCACCACCCCCTCCGAAGCTGACTGTAAGTTTCATTAGCAGGTGGACTCGTAATAGTTTGTAACGATAGTATCATTGAGGCGTTCGATATGCTTCTTCCTCCACCACCTCCATTACCTCAGCTCCTGGTTGTTCCTCCTGATGATAAGTTGATTATAAAGGAGCCCGAAAACGTGGACAAGGTTGGTGAAGTCGAGGGAAGCTTTGGCGGAGGTAATGCTAGAGCATTCAGGTGAATTCTCAAGATGTGTCGAAGGTGTTAGCTCAGCGGGCAAACGCTCAGTTGAGGTTAAGCTCCGATCCCAATGATTTTGAAGCATTGCGTATGTTGAAAGAGGCAGATGATCAGGTTTGTTCTCTAAACTTTATTTTTCCCTTTTGGGTTCAGTAGGGTAACGCCACTTACGCTTGATACTAACCATAAAGTGGGCTGCTTTGGTTTCTGAGGATGTGGATTACTATAGTTGACCGAATATACAGATGATGCAGGCACGAGTTAGTGACCAATCGCCGGTAAACCTCAGGATTCGCCAGCTATTGTTCCCAAAATATGACATTCCTTATCGCACGCGCCAAACTCTGAATTGGGCGAGTATAATAAAATAGTTGGTACTCCTACAGCTGTGAACGAATTACCCACGCAACCAAATGCACTCGTGTTTGTGGATCCAGCTCGATTTGTTGGGACTGTGTGCTTATGAAGCGGAAATTTTGGCTTAAAGCAACAGTTCCAGGACGAATTTACGAGGTAAAACCGTTGATAATGTAGTTATAGCCCACAATTTGACCGACAGTAATGAAAAAACCAAAGAAAAACGCGGAATAGGGCTTTAAACAGGAACTCACCCTCTGCCCTTAGCGATGAGAGAAGACGCGTGCTGGACGAGTTGTCCGAACCTGCCAGCAGTAATGCGCTCCAATTGCAATTGCTGGCAAATAGCCATAATAGTTGGCTATTTGCCAACTCTTGCAATTGGAGCGCAATCTCTAGCTCATTCACTAACAGTTCGATCACCCCTCAAACTACTGCAATTCGACCCTTCCATTTAGCTGGGGAAGCCTTGATTCCGCTAATAACTGACTGACTTGGTGGCCATTACAACAGATTACAACATTACATAACACCACATAACATAACAACATTAGAACAACAAAAAAGAAGCAATTCCACTGCAACCGGCAGGATCAGATTGATTACTTTAAAGGACAGAGTTCAAATACCCCCTGTGGTCCCGAAACGAGCACGAATGCCTCCGTAGCCAATCACGGCTGGCAAGTGGGCGGTCCCGAAGAAATTTCCAACCACACCCATCTTTGAGGATTTAACGCCCTTTTTGGGCTTTTCCCAGGTGAGTTTTCTTTATAACTTCACTTCAGATGTTTCCAATAGGGCCTGCGTATCCTTTAGTGCCATTAGTATTGAAAGAAGCAGACCCTGCTGGGACTGTTGCTTTAAGATTCAAGCTCGTGCTAGGCGCTGTGTAGCTCAAACAGTATTGCTTCAGAATAACCATCAGTGAACCAGAAGTAATAGTGTAAATTATTATTTGAGTCGCTCACATCAACGTATTATTTGAGTCGCATATACTATTCAATCGTTCTATAGATGGCCATCTGGGCAGCTGCCAAGAATTTGCCGGGCAAGTTTACTGGTTCCACGGGCCTTAATGTTTTGTCGTCTGAAGAGCTGCAACCTCACGATCCGCGTTATAACGCGTGGGTGAAGAAGGTATACCTTTGTAACAAGCATTCATTTGTTTTTCAGTCATCCCCTATTTTCTTATGGCTTTTATGCTTATTTGATTATTTACGCGATTCACCCAGGAAATGTAGTTATTGGTGTTTTTTGTACTAGGTGATAATGTTAATATTTACGATCAAGTCATGTTGTTCAGATAAGTTAAGGTTGAAATCGAGTTTTCTGAAGTTCACTAGCGCGCAAGGATTTGTACAATTACTCTAGAAATGTATGAGTGTGCACCGTTTGAGAATATCATCAGGGCTTCACCTTCATGGAGTGGACAAGGGGGTCTTCCTGGGCGGACCGCGCTTTTTTGAAATGATTTCTTGCATATTGTAGGGACATATGTATTGACTTCAAAATGGCCCCGACCATGAATACGACATCTGATTTTGACATTTAGCGCCATTTGGCACCAACCGTAGGCGCCAACCCAAATGCAAAATTTAGTCGCCACGGGGATCGAACCTCAACAGTATCTTCACAACTTTTTTTAATACTACTAAAACCGTTCAGCGAAAACGAAACATGGTTTTGTGGTCCATACATGCGTCCCTACAATATGCAATAAACCGGTTTTGAAAAAGCACGGTTTGCCCTGGAAAACTCTTCTTGTTAGTTTGACCACGAATAATTATTCATTTCAAATTCGGATACAAAAAATGTTGTCAGCATACAAAGGGGTTGTATTAGTTACAAAAAAAAGAGCGATCGACTACAAGGAAAATAGACTGAGTTAGGATAGACAGAGCCAACCTACGAACCTAGCAGTTGTCCCTAAAAAACAAGACCGCAGACCTGCAAGTTTCACGCGGGTGGGTAATCGAGGGATAGGGTGAATGACGGTCGAGGAAATCCCCACCATGGCTCTGCACTGTGTAAAAGGGGTTAGAAACGGCCTGCGCGTAGCGAGATGTCCGCGCGGGAGAGCGTGACTGAACAGACGAAAATCCTCGTCGGGCCGTCGACGAATCCTCGACCGACTTTCATGTTGTCGCTTAGGGGTAGGGGCAAGTGAACCATGAGGCGATAGCCAAGTGAGTAGCTCCAAATATCCTTCGGCATTCTGTTCTAATAGGCGACAACGTCTTTTTGCGCCTCTCCTTTCCCACGCCTTCTCACCTGAGCATCACTGCCTATCTGCATCCACATTTACATTACATTAATTTACGATATCAGGTTTCGCATTGTGAATCACGGCTTAATCTTGAAAGAGCTAAGAGTTACACTCTATGTATCTCTTAAATACCTAGAGGTACTGCCACATTTGATGTTCGATGTCGCTTGCATGTGTGACCTATATTCGTGGATTTTTGGTTTGAGGTCAGCTGTTGCCGCCCAAAGTGGCCGGCACGCATTATCTTGCAATCGGCTGCGCTCACGGTAGTCTATGTAGAGGCAGTAATGAAAGTACGCACCGTCTACAGTTACTCTGCTGAACCGTTTGGAAATTTTGAATTAGGTTCACAATATTGCGCAATTGACTACACTTATATTACTTCACTGGTACTGGACCTTTGAATAGATATATCAAGATTAGTGTGCAATGAGCATGAGGGTAGAGCAGGAGAAAGAAGATGTTGTGTCATTGGCGTCTTGCTGCGAAACATTTGTAACGCGACCGCGCGCAGCAAACATACAATTTGAGCAGGAATTAAGTTTCAGTGAGCGGCAATTTTCCAAGTCGTTGACCACTTCATAGGCGTTTTTGTCTTGGAATCTGAATCTCCAGTGCCATGAAGAAAACGTTGAACTTCCAAGTGAGTGACGTCGCCCTCCGTCTTTCTGGTCCACGCCAGTACTTCGTCTTCTTTTTAATCTTATACGGCTCGTCCTCATTTCATCTGCAAACATTAGCGGGAAACTATTCGTTTCTGTCTTTTGCCATTCACGGTTGACATAATAGCCGCGAAGAAGGCGATCTGAGATCGAGCTGCTGCATTTGCAGCTGCTTTACGTGGTTGACAAGCGCATTTTCCTCTCGCAGCAGATCTTTCTTGAGAGTAAACCTACTGGAGCCATTATACCGTTTTTCTTTTCCATCTGTTATCATCTCTGCTCTTGATGTGACCGGCTCAACGAAACTTTGCCTTTGTCATGTTCTCCACACGTTCGTGGAGACGGGACATTCTGCATAGGTCTGAGCTGCCAAGTCCTGCTCAATATTGAGTGAAACAAGCCTCGAAATACATCGCTGGAGCACCCTGTGAACATCAGTCAAAGGTAGAATCAAAAAGAGTTGTGCGAAGTTCCAGATCAGTAAGGCGATTGATTACTTCTTTCAGAAGACCGAGAGCTGCTCTCGCCGCTCTCTGTTTCCTCTCTAGATTCGAGAGGTACCGTCCGTCCACACGATTTAATTTGTCATCCCAATCGAGCGACTTTATTACCCATCGTAGTGCAGCCGCAAACAACCTTGGCGACAAGTGTTATGTCCCCTGCTCACGCTTTCCAAAAGTTGTTGGTGTGAGGTCGTTGGAAGAGTTGTACTGCTGCGGTGCAGCGAACATTCCAGCAAACCGGCGTTCGTATACATATGACGATTCCCTCCCCTGGTCGACTAGTGCTGACAGGATCTGGTTTGTACCCATTTGTCAAAATTCTTCTCGCGTTAACGAAGATTAGTATAAGAGGTATTCGGAATTTTCGACACACTTCAATGACCCTGACGACTGTGTGGACCTAGTCCGGCTGGATTCCACGGGACATCCGGTTTGAGAAATGACGACCAATACTGTACATTAGTGCGTGAAGTTCGGTAGGTTACGCTTCGTCCAGTGATTGCAAAATACGCGCACAGATAACCTTGGCAATCGGCTTGTACACGCTCAGCAAGCTGATTGAGCGGTCACTGCGAAGATCATCACGATCTCCTTTTTTTGTGGAGGACGACTATGCGTGAGTTCCGCTTCTGGTCTGAAATTTCCTTCAATGTTAGGATATCGAATGCGTAACGAAGTGAGCATGAAGTTGGTAACCGCTTTACGGAGCAAGTCGGCTAAGATCTTGTCTTGTGCTTTTTTCATGCTCGCAGCTGCAACTCTGAAGGACGAATTCGCGGTGTTCTTCACTTTGAAGGAAGAATTCGCGGTGTTCTTCCCCAGTGGGGAACTTCTGCGTCCAGCACATACAGTAGCACTCAAAAATCTTCAGTAGGAAAACCTTCGATTGTAGCTTCTGTTCTGCGATCAATTCATTACAAATTTTGGTACTATTTTACTATTACTGTCTCAAATTTATTTTTCGTTGAAAGTTCACCTATGTTGGTTCGATGTCCTGATTACGAATATGATATTCATTTTTTGACGCTGGCGCCATTTGGCGCCAGTTGGCGCCACCTTGTCACGACGCTGTTTTCACCAAATTCGGTGTAAACTTCTGTATAGGGGTTATTTGGTGTCCTGATTACGAATATGACATTTATTTTTGGCGGCGCTATTTGGCGCCTATTTCCTGCTCGTCTGCGCCCTCGCACTGGTTTGATCGCTATCAGGACTAAGCCTTGATGGAGAGGAGGCTCAGACGTGAGCAAGCCACTCCTGTAATCTCACACACTTCACCTCTTGCCATGCGATGTGCAAGTGAGAGAGCTCAGAAGAGCAGAAAATATGCGATCGACGTTGGAACCGCGAGAGAGCTCCAAAGTTTCGTGACAGTAGTGGGTGTTATGTAACAGCTGTGACGATTGACCGTACCCAATTACAAAACACAACACACTATTCGTAATTAACCATTTATTGCAAGTTATATACAAAATGATGATTGGCAATGAGCCAATCAATATACAAAAGGTGCTAGAATCTACTACTGTAGATTCTAGGCTTCAACCAAGCTAGGGAAACGGGGACTGTCCGCAATTCACCTGCCATCTTGTACGATTGAACCATCTTCTCGCCGAGGATGTTCAAACGTACACTTCCTTCTGAACACAGAAGGGCGACCATCGCGTGAGCCACGCTTAGGCCAACGTGCATCTGTAGTCGTCTTGTACGAACTACTGCACAACTGCTTTCCACACGGGGAAAGATCCACTCTTCAACTGGTGAAGAGAACGAAGCTCGCATCGGGCGACGCTTCGGAGTCAGGGGGAGCCCTCTAGCACGTAGAGTTAATCACCTAGTCGTCCGCAACGACCTCGGGAAACTCCCCTCTCGTATTCCGAGAGAGACCGATCTGCTCACATCCCGTGAGCTCGGCAAAACTCCAGACTGACTGATCAGCTCGATCAGAAGACGGATCGACAGTAGATGGGGGCGTGGCTTAGGTTTACGACCATAAGAGAGAATCTCAAGTACCTAAGGTTACACCTAGGGATACTAGTCTGCACCTGCATGCACTTTTACAACCTGCACGCGGCCCCATCTCAATCCGAGATATTACTCACAAGTTATCTAAACTTGGATGATACAGAAAAACTGACTTAGGTTACCCATATACTACACAGAAAATATGCGATCGACAGCGCCAGAAAAACGAATGTCAATTCCGTGATCAAGACACCAAATAACCCCTAAATGTAAGTTCACGCCGAATTCGGTGAAAGCAGCCGTCGTGACAAGGTGACGCCAAATGGCGTCGGCATCGAAAACGAATGTCATATTCGTAAAATGTGAGTTCAAAATAACTCTTCAGAAAAAAAAAAATAAAAAAAACCCCAATTTCGCAGAGAAATGAAATGCGAGGGTGTGGGGCAGTAATAGTGGAAGTGCCCAAATTTCAATGTTTTGAAGACAGGACTTCTTTGCCCAACAAGCTTATAATCATTGAATTGGAGGAAAGAATAAAGAAATCGTATCACTAGAAACTCTCGAGTATGACCGAATTCTAATAAAGTTTGAAATTGTTGTAGAAAGCTTACCGTTTAGCAAAACAGTCTAACGCATGATGTAAAACATTAGTCAGCTCCTACGCTTTGTTGCTAATCTTTTGGGTTCGTTGAAATATTAGCAAGGCCCAAGTATGGAATCAGTCAATGACTGCGCTGTATA